GGATCAATCTATGCTCTACAAAAGAGATTTGTTCACTTAACCAATCACTTGATCGCTTTTTGTAAGACTTTTACTAACGATGAATTAAATCTTAAAGTGCTTAGATCTTTAAACATGGAATGACAACCAAAGGTGACAGTGATATCAGAAAAGAAGAGTCTGTCTACCATGACATCCGCTTCCTTATTCGGAAAACTTCAAGAGCATGAATTAGAACTTGAAAGATTGGAGAAACATGAAATACAAGTAAAAGATTCAAAATACATTGCCTTAAAGACAAAAGTCCAAAGTTATGATAGCAATCAAGAGGAGGAATTCACTGATGACGATGATGATCTTATTAAATTTTTTGAAAAGCTCTTGAGAAAAGAAGGGAAAAGGGAGATCATTCACAAAGAAGCAACAAAATTGATATCAACTTTGACATCAAATTCTTATGAAGGAGATACGTGTCTAATTTTATGCTATTAATTTTCAATTATAAATATATTCTTCCTATGTTATCACCTTGCTTTGTATGTTGTTCTACTTTGTCTTCTTTTTGATGATGTCAAAAGAGGGAGAAATACTAGGTATTATAGTTGTTCTTGTTCATAATTATTTTAGGGAAGAAATCCTTGGATTGAAAAAGAAAGGGGGAGATATACAAGATAGGGGGAGATTCTAGTTGCTACTCAGCATTTCAAAAAGTCGCATATTGAAGCAACTCATTGATAAACAAGTTAAATTTCAAAGAATGGTTTGTCATCATCAAAAAGGGGGAGAATATGAAGAAGATTTCTCCTTGTACTAGGTTATAATTTTGATGAAGACAAAAACATCAACAAAAAGAAGAGTCAAAGCTTGAATACTAGAGCAATCAAGTTTAAATTATCAAAAAGCTTTGAAAATTTTATGGAAGAATCAAGATGGTTGAATATGTATTACAATTCATATCTTAATATCTCATAAAAACCATGCATATTCATCTTAAACCTTTCATGAATCTCTTAAAATGATTTTTAAATTAACTATTCAGTTTTTGGTAAATTATGGTGTTTCAAACCGCCTTAATAGCACTTTTAAACCGCCACAATTTGCATAATTTTCTCAAAAAGTGTTTTTCTTACGTTGCAAGTGGTTAACCGATTAATCATTTACTAGTTCAAATGTGTTAATAGATTAACACTTAACCAGTGGCAATTTTCAATGAAAATTTTGATGTAAATGAATTTTTAAAAGCATTTTTGAACCATGGCATCTTTTCATGTATTTGTACACTTTTAGAAAGGTGTTAAGGCATTAGATAAACCATACTTTTTAGAATTAAAACTCATATCTCTCTCATAGCAATTCAAGTGTTCTTGGCATAACATTTTGTTGAAACTTTTGCACATCAATTTCATTACATTTTCAAATAGTTTCAATTACATAAATCATTAAGCACTTGTACTACATATTAAGAAATGCCTACTTGATAGAGAAGATTAATTCTAGAAATTGATATACATTATTATACAACTTCAAATACTTGTGAAAATTCAGATTGTTGTAATTTCCTTGTTATCCAGGATTGTTGGAAGCAAAAGAGTGAATAAGGGAGAATTTTTCTCTTATTGCACTTTGTAAGGATCATAATGAAATGTCCTTATTGATTGTGTTGCTTATGTTAGAAGATTGTAGGATAGGTCTTGGTGGAAGACTTGTACAAAGATCTGACATAGTGGAAATCTCTCACGGGGAGTGAGGGGACTGGAGTACTCTCGGATTGTGAGGGGAACCAAGATATATCTTTGTGTCCTTTACTTTCTGCATTTATTTTTCAACATATTTACTTTCATATCATTTCTGAAAAATAACAAAACCAGTGTTAATACTTCAAAAAGAGAAAAGTCCAATAAATCTAATTCACCCTTCTTAGAAATTGCGCATAAACTAACACTTTTCTATTTCTAAAGATAACAATCATGTACTAGCTCTAAGGCGTACTTTGGGGTCATTGAGTAGATTTTGGAGATTGACTATGTTTCTTTTAAAGTGCCTTTATTTAAGTGCAAGTGGATTGACAGTAACACTGGTGTATAGACCGATGAATTGGGATTTACACAGGTTGATATTCATAAGGAAACTTATAAGAACAAACCTTTCCTCATGGCATCCCAAGTAAAATAAGTTTTTATGTCACTGATCCTTCTAACACTAGATGGTCAATTGTTCTTCAAGGTAAATATTTCTCGATAGTATAGATGAAAATCAAGATTTTAACTATGAGACGTCTTGGTTATCAACACATACATGTCAAACATCTGAAGAAAATGATTCAGATGATGTGCGTGCTATTTGTCGTGACCATGAAGAGAGGATATGAGAAAACTAGTAAGTAAATGTTTTATATCCCTTTGAAATTTATAATTAATCATTTTACTCCTTTTAATTATTGTATTATATATTTAAAGTTGTTGATTGACCTAATTAGTTTCAAATGTTGTTCAAACTATAGGTGCTTAAGGACCAGTGACAAATCCTATTGGACAACCTACAAAACTTTCCATTTTGGTTACTGCTTTTGTTTCATAATCCATAATTTTAGTTTTGAAAATGGTTCTGTAATACAAGTTCCAAAAAACATGGTTCTATAATCCTATAATTGGTTATACAAATATGGTTCTATATTCAGGAATATGGTTCTATAAATGGTTATGTAATACAGGTAAAAACGATAGTACAAAAAAACTTAACCCATTTAGGTTTTGATTAAACAGAGATAATAACATTTAGATATTACCTCGGTGTTAAATAAAACCGAGGTAACGTCATTGGGTGCGCCATTCAATTTTGAAAATCCAAAAAATGTTGATGTTGGTATCGAACCCACGACCTTTTCATTTCTAACCTCGTCTTTATATCCTCTAAGGTGATAAATGATTGTATTTCATGTCTTTATATTGATAACCGAAGATAATGGTGAAAATACTAATGTAATCAAATGTAGTTTCTAGAGAAGTGTTTTAAAATGTATTATAAATAATGTAGACAATCATTTACAAATACATGTTTGTTTTCACAAAAACTTCTATATTTTTGTGCAAATAATTTACTCTGGTAGTTCTATTTTTATGATTTATAAATCAGACTTGTGCATCGTACGGGTTGACGCCTAGTCGCTTGATATTAGTTATTTTTTTTATATCAGGGTTAAAAGGCTATTTAACCCAACATTTATGTTACTAAAGAGTGATTTGTGCAGTCCATTGTTATGCTCTTACTTTCATAAATGTTTTCAACAATTTGGGATCAATTCTCCCACTGGGCCTAATTTATCAAAGCAACAATCTTTAATAATTTTGCAGTAACACATAAAATTATTAAAGAAAGGATCTTTATACAACCCTTAATCTCACATTTTGAAAGAAAAAAAAACATATTCGAATATGTATTTCTGAAGTCTTGCATGCAAATATGATCATGTTTAAGGTCCTTATTGTTCTACAACTTCTATAAATAGAGTCTCTCATTCTATTTTTTTTACCTAAATCAGAATGACTAAATATCCTCATCTTACATTTGCGTATTTCAATGGCACAAAATTCTCCATTTCAATTTTGGATATGCGAGGACATACTTCTCGTCGATCTGAAAACCAAACTAAATACTCTCATGCAATATCTAGAAAATTGGAGAATTGTCAAGCTCAAGTACCGTTCACCCTCAATAGACAACGAAGGGAATATATAGTTCAACATGCTTGAACTGAAGACGGATAATGATTTATGTGGAGTACCTTTTACAGTTAATTAACAAAGGGTCTGATTGAAGTGAATGCGACGATTCAAAGATCAATCGAAGATATTATAAAAATGTTGCAACTTTCTGAAGCACTTGTTTTTAATGACATGTAATGTTAAATTTATGTAATGTTTATCTATGTAATATTTATTTTGGTTTTCCATTCTGCCATTGTTTCTGTCTATTTCTATTTTGAACTAACAAAGTATATTCTAAAGATGCATCTCCGAAAAGCTCAAAGACTAATGATATATGGGGAGGTGGATAACCGATGTTGAACATCATGATAAGTGTAATGATCACAAAGATATAAACAATGTAATATAACCACTTGTAACAAATTATAACTAACTTTTCAGTTAGTTAGGAATTTGTTAATGTAGGTTGTTAACTTTGCTTGCTATATAAGCAACTTTCCATATTGTAAACGAGGATGATGATGAGAAATATACACATTGCACAATATTACTCTCTCAATCCTTTCTTCTTCATCTTAATGTGCATGAAGCTTGTAGCTCATATCCGAATCAATTTTTGTGTATACAGAAATGTATCTCCGAATCAAATTTTAGTAGAATTAAGGGTTTCTCATTATTTTCGTCTTAGTTGTGTATGAAAAATGTGCGTCTAAAGATACATCTGCGGATGCTAGAGATATTTTGGTTCTTTTCAGTGGTGAAGAAACCCCTCGGAATAGAAAGAGCAATTCTCACATTAAAAGGTGTTGACATATGGGCCATTTAACACATTAGTAGATACCAAAATAAAAAAGCCCATATCCTAGCAAAGAAAGTCATCCGAAGAAAAAATTTGCTTTGTATTAATATTGGGCAAAAGCCCAACAATCTTCCTTGAAATTTATAACATGAAGTTTTGTTCCAAAAATAAACAAATAAAACTAAGATACAATTGATTGATTAAAATTCTGATTTGTTATAAATAATGAAGTTTTAAGTTTTAATCCTACACTCTTTCACCTCATTTCTTGATGAATCAAGCTGAACAAAAGTGCATATAACTCTTTTCCATATTAAAAAGCTGAATGAAACTTTATCCAATAACTTCCAAAAGGTAATAATTCGAAAGAAAAGTGGAAAAGGAAAAAGAGAACATTTCTAGAAAAGGATCACTAAGACTTCAGACTAAAAAGTAAAAACCAATAATAATAATAATAATAATAATAATAATAATAATAATAATGATAATAAAAGAAAATTACTTTACTTAAACACTACTTAAACATCAACAACACAACTTTGTGATAACTGAAACTTAACCGCCGTATCAGAAACTCCGAACCCGTCACCACCTTTATCTCCGGCAACCCGTATAAACGCCGGACAGTTCACATCAATATGGTACCTTCCAGAAACCCAAGTCCCAACCTTCCACTTAACTCTCCCGTTGACTTTAATGTTGACTAAAACTCCACCTGAAGTTAGATCCTGCCGCAGAATCTCCGACAAGTAAGGTGAAACCGGAACAGCCAAACCATATATTATCGGCGACCAAACGGAGATGTCACGGTGACCTTGATAAGTTTCTGGAACACCAGTTGCAAGAGAGATTTGTTGTCCTCTATAGGAAGCGTATGCATCAAGTTTATTATAATAAATGCCGATTTTTGAGTTCGGATTTAAGGATGAAAGAGTTACTTGAATTGTGAGGGTTAGAGTGTTTGGTGTTGGGGCACTTAGGGACGGTGTTTCGCCGGTGGAGGTGAGGTTGAAGGCGAAGACGGTTACGTCTTGGAGGAGGAAACGCGGTTTGGTTGGTCGAAGGATGATCCAGATTAGGAAGATAGTGAGGAGTATAAGGATTATGAAGGTGAGGATTCCGGCGAATACACGGCGGATGAGTTGGCGGTGTTCAGTTTCGTGGTACTCGCACTCTTTGATCATGGTGGTGGAAATTTTTTTAATGGCTTTGTTTGGTTTTTGTGTTGTGAATGTGTTTGGAAAGGGTTAAAGATTATGAGTGAAGAAAGGTTGTTTCTTTGCTTGTAATGGAAAGACTGGTTTTGGAGAATGTTTTTTCTTAGATGAAAGTATGTAATATATAGGTGAATGTGGTGAGAGGGGTTGGAGGTGGTTAGAGGGTAATAATTAGTTATAAGGACTTTGAGACTTTGAGTTTATAATTTGGTTGTGTGTTCATATGTGTCTATGCTTGTAGTACACGGTTTGGTTAAATTTTAGTCAATTTTTTATATTCATATTTATCACTATGTATATGCATGTTTACTATATATTGATATTTTATCATTACCTAAAGGGTTAGTGTTATTTTTGGGTAAGAATAAATCTGATTTTTGTCATAAGGAATTAAACCTCGGATGAATAAGTTTACACTCACTTAACTCAGTTAATATTTATAGGGTAATGTTAACTTGTGCCCTTGGGGCACATGTTAAGAACTAAATTAAGAAACATTGTCTTGGAAATTGTGTATAAACTTTAATTAAAGTATAAAATTAATTTTTAAATCGTTTTTTTCAATACAAATTTACTATAAGTGGTTTTCTTAACATGTGCCCCAAGGGCACAAGTTAACATTACCCATATTTATATTAATTAAGTGGTTGATGCCAATTATTACTTTCATTATATGTTAAAAAAACTATTTAAACTAACATTTATGTAATAAACAATGATTCATGCAGTCCAATGTTGTGTTCTTACTTTCATACAAGCCTAAGGTTGAAAAAAATTAGAATTAAATAAAAAAATAATTAAAATTCAAATATAATATATAGAAAACTATAAATACATATTTTTAAATTAAAAAAAAATAATTTAAATCGACATAAACTATGTCAGCTCCACCACTTTGGCTTGGATCCCCTGGGACAGCAACATGGTGCAGACAATTGTGGGGTGTATATGGATTGTCCTTATCTAAAGAACTTAACATTTTTAAAATTAAAATTGTTTTTTAAAATGTGTAAGACAGTCTACCGCACATAATTTAAAATTTATAACAGTTAAAGACCTCATAAAAATATCATAAATAAAATTTCTATTTATTTTGACACGGTAAAATGTGTCTAACCTATGTATTTCCTATAAAAAAATTGATTGTTTGCATCATACTACAATATAGTCATTTAAAAGGATCCGTTTTTTGTATGACAGCAAAATCTATAATTGGTTTTGAAAAGATTAATATGAAAAAGAATATAGACTAATATCAATTCTATTAAAAAATATATATATCCAGGGCTACTCTTGAAGTGTGTGTCTTTTCGTTAATGTAAAAATGGTCAACAAGAGAAGAATATGGCTTACTGTACAGTACAAACATAGAACATTGGAAATCCACAACGTGTTACCATCCACAAGACAAGAATTAAACACATACGCATCCCACGAAGAATTTAATTAATAGAAATGCATTGAATCCTGAGCGGAGGATTGGAGCATTATATGCATAGTAATCATAAGTTCATCGACTCATTATCTAATGTGGCTGCAATATTGTGATATAATGCACTTATAAATAACACTAAAAAGTTGTATTATAACGCTGCAACGATCGCATCATAACGTTGTAATGATTGTATTTGTCCGCATCAATCTATAATATATTATGTATTGTTTGAAAAAATTATTTGATCTATCTTCCTTCTTATTTATATCATAGATTAAAAATATGTTTTAAATCAATTTGAAAGATTTAAAGTGATGGAGAATTGTTATTCAAAATATATATATAAAAATTTAGAGAGGAAATGAAAGACATGTGAACTTTAATATAAATAATAAACTATACTATTTTATTTTAATAAAAAAATAAATTCACATTGCAAACGACCGCAATCCGCATTGCAATAGTTGTAATGACTGCTAACCGCAATAATTATAATTGCAATTGCATCTCCAGCCGCATCCGCAATTTAAAACCATTTATAAATTTAAAATATACATTAAAGTTTTATATTATTAGAAGAGAACTCACCATTTTTAATGGTGATATTTTCATTAATTGAATTACTTGTTATTATCGTTGCAACTATATTGCATATTTATACAAGTATTTTTTCTCCAAATACATTAATTATTTAATGTATCTAAAAAGTAAAATTTATTATAATATGAAACGGAGGGAGTAGAGTTTAACTGAAAAATTAATTGGTATGACATTTAATAACTTGTACTAGTAATTGAGTAGAGTTTAACTGAAAAATTAATTGATATGACATTTAATAACTTGTACTAGTAATTGCTTCGGTTAGTTTTTGCACAATTGATAAACACTTGACTTTTTAATTTATTAGTCTCTTCTAACACTACCAAACCAAGGTTCTAACACTACCAAACAAGGTTAAGGGGATTTGCAAGAAAGAATGTAGAACTTGGTCTTGAGTTCATGAAATGCACTTGTGTCAAGTGCTTTAGTCAATATATCAGCTATTTGAAAAACCGACTAATACATGGAAAATAAGTAGTTTCTTTGAGGTCATTATTTCTCTTATAAAATGGATATTAAACTCTATGTGTTTCATGTGAGCATGAAGAATAGGATTATGAGACAACATAACAACACTTAAATTGTTACACAATAGTCCAGGTGGATAAAATGGAATAGAATGCACGGTACTCAGACTATGTGTTTAACCTTGCAACTAGTTGCTTTTTAGAACTTCAAGCTACAAAAATTTGGACCAGATGTTGATTTATGATTAACTAGTCACTAATGAGAGTCATTATAGACTCTTAGTGAGAATTTATGAGCCTATGGTTTAAAAAGACTCGAGTAGGGCATGAAAAATAGTTTCACTAAAGTACCTTAATATTCTCTTTAGTGCAAACCAATGAGAATCATGTGTAAAATGATATAAATATGTAAGTTTTTGTTCAATGAATGGAATAAGAGAAATGCCTAGCAACACTCTCTCAAACACTCACTTTTTATAGGTTAAAACACATGTAGGTCCTACCAATTTAAGTGAGACTCATTTTCAAAGTGAGAAATCCACATGTGTTTCACCCAATAAAAGAATGAATGTTGGAGAGAGTGCTTCTATCACTCCTCATGGGATAAACTAAGGTTCAAACTGAGTTAAAGTATATTAGGCTAACAATTAGAGACTATAGTGTAGAGAACTTTTGTAAGATGAGGTTGAGACTTGTGTGAGTTAGAGAACTTAGAGCTTAACTCAATTGACAATAGTTGAGGAAATGGAAAGTTTTGTTAATTGAATGTAATATCCTTAATTAGAAATGATAATCTTGTCTTCCTTACTAAGGAATTTAAAACCCTTATGTTGAGGAGATACTCATATATATACACATTATACATTGTTGAATTGAAGTTTATTTTTGTTATAAGGTTTAGCATGGGAAAACATAAGCAACTAAATTATACATTGTTGAATTGAAGTTTATTTTTGTTATAAGGTTTAGCATGGGAAAACATAAGCAACCAAAGACTTTGGTGGACTTGTAATCATAACTTTTGGTGCAGATGGCATGAAATGGAAAATTGAACTTTGGTAAGACATTTGTAGGTGGTCTATTTATGATATACATCAAAGTTGCAAAAAGGCAATCCTAAAATTTTAGTGGCATAAAAGCATGAAATAGTATGGTTAACCTCATTTCAACAATTTCTGAACCATTTTTGATGTGAAGTATGTAGGAAAGTGAGTTTGTGGGAGATACTTAACTCGATAAATATTTTTGTGAAGGTATATATTCTACCCTATTATCAGACTTGATGGCTTTTATAGTGGTTTTGAAATGAGTGTTAATAAGCACATGAAACAACATAAAGGCATTTGGGGCTTCAGATTTCAAATTTTAAACACTATACTCGATTGTATATGTTATATTCATCCACAAAATCTATATAGAAACTAAAACCTAAATTGAATGGAAATGAAGATGGTCCCCATAAATAAATGTGAGTGACATAAAAAGAAGTATGATAAATAATTGTTGATAAAGATGCGAAGATTCTATGAGATTTACATCAACAACAAAACCTGAAAATGTCAAATGAATCTTTACTTATATTTGAATAGTACAGAGATTAAGTACACATTTGACAGAACTAAAATTGGTATCTCCGAGTATATCATGCCATAAAGGGCCAAACTTGAAATTCTTTACATTACCTAAGCGGAGAACTAGTACTAGCTAAAACAGAAATAGAAGCAACAATGTTATGCACAATAGTATAAAAATCACAACTATAGGAATGGATTAGACTCTTGTTAATTCCAAATTTAGCTTGGGAAAGTAGTAAAGACAGCTGGTATCAAAGAATCTAATATGTTGGAGTTAACGTTTACCTCTATGGTTGAGAGAGAGAGAGAGAGAGAGAGAGAGAGAG